CTTCTTTCTGGGACCACAGGACTTTCCCTCCAGAATTCTTCAGGCTACAAAATGCATTAAAACGATACAGCTTCCTCTTATTCACACTTACAGGTCCCTTATGTAAGAAATGGGAAAGAATAAGAAGACCTTTACATGGTTCATGTGCAGAAGATGGGAAAAATATGGGCTGAGGCATCATAAAACAAATGGAGGCAACCCAAAGCGGCTAAAGAAGGTGGATGTCTCCTTTGTGCCAGGTCACCTGCAGAAGATAAAACTGTTGCAAAGAGGGATCTATCTATTATGGATCTATTATTCACCATGTTTTATGAAGGGAGAACTCATATTTGGAGACTGTATGTGATCATTAACCAATGCCAAAGTTTAACATAAATGTCAGGCAGTATCAACACAAGAATAGGTGTAGGACATTTTTAAGTTCAGCTCCTGATTTTGATTGCAGCATTAGCAAGTCTTCCCTTTGGCCATCTCTTTGCCTTTCCCTTCCCTTTAATCTGTACTTAAAACTAAAAGTCACTGTATTATACGTGAAGAAAAACAGTGTTATGTAGGCACTACAACAAATAAGAAATATGATATAGCTGTTCACTTCTTAATACTGAAACTTGAGAAAGGTACACGGAAAATCCTGTACTCTTTGAAGCATAGGAAATATATGTGCCTTTTCTTCTTGCACCTTCGAAGACATTGCTCCTTCAGTTGCAGGCAGACGTTACAATGGATAATGGATAATAAACAGGATTCACGTTCTTGGCACTCAGTCAATTATAAGAAATACCAATTGCCTTCTGCAAATATTCCCATGGTGCCAAACCATCAGAGGAGTTGGTGAGTAGGAGGAGTGAAGGTGTGATAATTGAAAGAATTGCTACTTGATAAGTCACAGGAGCTAATGTGTTAGCTCAGCGTGCAGGGAAGCTAGGACGTTCCCAGCTGCCGCAAAAACTGGGTGTATGCGATCCCTGGCACCACTCGTTGGGACAAGATGAATCACAAGCGCTTCAGTAGCGAGCTACCATGTCACAGTGAGCCAGATGGAGGTGGTTACTTCCCTGATTGATTGCCTCGTGGGCTACCAAGGGCTTTTCCAGCAGGCTAATGCCTTTCTGTTGGCACTCAAGCGCCCGGGAGCAGTGTGTCCGCTTGGGTCAGCACCATGCAGGAATTCCTGCCTTTCGGGTGTGTGGCCACCCCGCAGAGGGAGAGGGAAGTAAATAAGGAGCAAGGGGGAGCAGGTGACTACAACATGCACTGAAATAACACCGACTTCTGATGCCTCCCTAATAGATGTTGCTGCTAATGAATTTTCAAGCACGTGCTGAGTTAACGGGGGTGAGCAACATTGAAACATCCTTTAGTTAAACCCAGTGCTTTACAAAAGCTAATTGAAAAAGGAAGGAGCAGCAGGGGTGGTGGGGAGAACAAGGATGAAGAGGGGGTGGAGGGGGAGAACAGCTCTATTTTTCAAGTGCTGAATATGAAAACCCTGCAACAGATGAGTTTACATGCAAGCCTGCACCTCATCAGGGCAAAGATACAGTGAGTGGAGTCAAGTAATTTTCCTCTGCACACAGCATCCCCAGCCCCTTACCCTGCCCAGCCAGCTTTCTCAACTGTGAGCTTTAGAATATAAACAGCCAATAAGTAAGGACAATAACTGTAGTTCCTGCTGAGAGCTAACTCTGCCTGTCATGCATTTGCTGGGTCCTAATACAGGACAGTGAATAAAGCTTCATTACAGAACAATGGAGTTAGCTGCCAGAGCCTACAGATTTGAATAAACAACAAATAAGCAACATCTGCTCCAGCATATGTGTATGGTAAAAAAAAAAGTCACAAAATAAAAGAATTTGTAAATGCCAAAAGCAACACTAAACTGCCAGTGCTACTGTAGAGTGAATTTTTAATTGCACATGCATACAGGCAGGCTGTGGGTATTAGTCTCACATATGTCTGGTTGCTGCCAACCTGGGAGTATAGATGAATTTAATTAAATAAGGATTATCCCTTCTCCCCAGTACAATTACTTATTTATAACAATGATAAAATTGCCTAATAAAAAAGATTGTAATATTTTTTAAAACAGAGCTAGAAAACACTCTGCTTTCCCTGTAAGTCATTCAGGGATGTTTGGGGGGTTTGAGCGTCTTTTAAAATTAAGTCTCAGCATTCTGCCAAGAGAGAGGGAAAAAAAGCCTTATCATAAAGCCTACTGCAGTTAAACAGCCAGAATCTACATTATGGAGAAATATAAAGAAGACACACAGCAGCCAGGGAATTGGCTTTCATGGGGAGTGTAGAAAATTAAGCAATTGGACTGAAATTGAGGCCAGGCTACAGAGCCAAGGGACAATACCACTGGGACAAGTACTTCCATAAGTCACCCGTCTCTAATATGCTCCATCTAGGCAAAGCAGTCCGTTCCTATATATCTCTATTTCTTCTCATAGTGGGCACCTCGCACTTCCCTGCTCAAGTGAGCTCCCATTTCAGCAGGGTCATGTCAGGCTCTCATATCTTCATCATCACTCACACCCTTTCCAACAGAGCCCACAGCCAAATGAGGCTGGGTCCTTATGGTATCAGGCACTGCATGAGCCTTGAAAAATAGGCAGCCTGGGAATTTGGAGGCAAAATCTAAATTCAGGCATGCTCTCCTGGGAGCTGAGGTTTTCCTTGAGTAGGTTCCTGATGGACTCTATTTCCCACTTGCTCCTACTTTGAGGACCCCCGCTTATGGGTCTGAGCTACATTCTGCTGAATTTAGTAGGAACCTTCTTAAGAGCTAGGTATTATTCACTACTAACAATGTTATGTTCATAACTGGCAATTTTTAGACTGTTTCCATGATGCACAGGAAGTTGAAGTTGCAGTAAAACTCCCATGGGTATGGAGAGGTACGCCATTTAAGAGCAGTGGGAAAAAGAGAAAGAATATGAAAAAAGCCTGTAAAAAAAAGCCGGAAATCTCCACTTTAAATTTAGGCCAAGCGTCAATGACACTGAAATGAGAGCGAGAGAGAGATTGCAGTGTTTAAACAAAACTCTAAAATAGTATTATGGTTCTGCAAAGGCATAAATCTTACATAAGTGCAGTTTACTTGTATGATTTTGCTTGATCACTTAACTGGATGACAGTCTTACCAGAATTAAAAACAAATAATTACTTTCTGCATTTTCTGTCATGAAATTACTACTAAATACCTGCTTATTCCTCTGTCTTGAAAGAGTATTCAGGGCATACAGTTATTTTTTCCGCTTACATTGTGATTGATATACCTATACAATCTGCTAAATCCTTTAACTAACACCCTTCATCATTAAATAGCACAGTCATTTTTTAGAGATGGATAAAGAAAGGAAAAAAGCATTGTGGGTATGTTATTACGTTTTGAATTTTTTCCCCACTGGGCTATGTCCACATTCTCTTTTTTTCATTTCTCACTGAACGTTTGTCCAAATGGTGTTTTTCACTGCACCAGTCCTGGGGAATTGCTATTCTTTGTATAGATACTGCTATGAGCAAGACTACTGGTATGTGGGCTCATCTTTGTTCATGAAGATCAAGACATCTATCAGAAAACAAAATCAAAGTAAGCTCATGTAACTGAGGTGACAAATCATACAGTCTGAATAGCAAGAAGAACCTGACATTAAATCCCAAAAGTCACTGGAGCCACGCGTTGACAGACTGGACACACACAACCCTGCCAGAAGATGCGGCAAGAGCAATTGAATGCCATAGGTATGCAATCTATTACACAGCTAAAAAAACCCGTATGAAAACAGCAAATGTATGCTTACAGATCATTTGAAAACAAAAATAAACCCTCCAGAACTGAGGAGTTCATGCTATAATCCATTGCATTTACTCAGCTCTAGCATTTACCAAGAACCCCACCCCCCACCCCCCACACCCCCTTCTGTCACTGCCTTCAACAGGCTCATGATTTCACTCCTGCAAATCCAGCTGTCACTCCAGCCAATGGCATATATGCATGATCAGCACCAGTGGACATCCAAAATTTTTTTTTTAGATACCTGTGTATGAACTTGGGTTGCTTAATTATTTGTGCTGGCTCCCCAAAAGTGATATAATGTGGTCCTCAAAGGGTGAGGGCTCACCAAACTTGCACCTTTGTCCCTTTCTATCTGCTTCTTGCTACTTATTAGTACTTTCACATTAAATTTCTGTCCCATTTAAAAAAAAACAACTGCCAGTCCTGCTCTAAGCACTGGTTGGAAAGGGTCACTAGAGAGCAAGGCCAAGCGCTCCCTTCTCTGAAGGCTGAACAGCCGTTCCTCCAGCACCACCACCCCTGCCAGAAAATGCTTCTCAGGATCCAAACTCAGATTACCCCAAATGACAGCATAACATCTGGTCTAACAGCTTTGCTTTTAATCCTTTCATAGACTCCTCAAATAACTTATTTTCTAACACATGATTCAATGCTATGTCAGCTCACGTGGTGTTAGTCTGTGTGATATAGGAGACTCATATGATGGGGTAGAGGCTGTGCTGCCACCAGCACATCCTGGTTACACAGTCCTGGTTGAGTTGCGTACAGAGTGGCTGCAGAGCCACTATCTCCAGTCTCCTGGTTGACTTACCTCCTAGGGATCTGAGAGTTGGTGGGTAAGGGGTCATCTGAGTCTGGCAAATAATTCACCTAGCAGGAGCGAAGCTTTGGTGTCGCTTGGAAGAGTAGAGAGGTCTGCTTAAAGCTTCAGACAGGGACCCCAAACACTCAGAGCTGTGCATGTGAGGTACCCTCTTCATGGGCACTCATTGTGTCTCCCTGACAAGCTGAGTATAATTTACAGCCCTATGATTTATCAAGTCATATCATCTAGACTGCCATGCCTAGAATAATGCATCCACATGCCAGAGGTGATGGAAGCAGAGAGGGAAAATGTATTGTTAGGATAAGCTTTAGAGGCAGCTACATGCAAACAGTGTTTTAAAAACTGGCAAATTGTCTGTTTCTTAACACTCACCTGAAGTGGTGTCAGGAGCATTTCCACATGGAGTTTCATCCTCAGAACTCCGAATCTGAAAAGAAAAGGAAGAGAGGAGGAAAAATTCTTATTGATGGTAATGATTATGAATGTATGCCTTATTACGAGGGGGGTTAGGAGCAAAACAAAAAAAAAAATTCTGGACATTTAAAAGTGAAAACGTAAAATCTTTCAGATGGTTCCTTTTTGGTTTCTCTTTTTTAAAATATTTGTTCTTGTCATAAACCAGGCTCTAGTCTCAGAACCTTTCCAAGCCTCGCTCAAAGTAATCAATACATTAAGTTTCTCAACCTGTAAACCCTTTGGGAATGAAGACCCATTTAACTTTTTCATAGTTAAGGGGAACATCATGTCATGATGCTGCATAAACCTCTTCAGAAAAAAACTTTATAGAAAAGGGGATCTATTAAATACAAGTAACACGTGAACATGCATGTTGGGTGTGTCCTCCATGCAGTCTGTAGTAGCTCAAGACTCTAAGCCCCTCATTGTCAAAGGCTAGAAGAATACGGATTGCTCTATATGAGACTGTTATTCTATTCCCCATACATCTGCTACTGGCTACTGCCAGAGTAACGATTTAGGTGGCCTGATGTTTTTCAGCCAGTACACAGTTCTTACAGCCTGAATTTCATGATGTGGTAGAGAATACTCAGAAGTTAAACAATATATACCCTGTCTAATTTGAACATCCAGCATTCACCAAATTGTCTTAGACATCAAACTGGGGAGTGTAAACACACTAACAATCTTGTTTGAACAGCCTCAGAGAAATGTCCCTAGAAAAGAAAAATATGACTTAGTAGAAGAAACCCAAGTAAATGTAACCATATGGAGGCAAATTCTTGCCAAAGAGTGTATGTAGGGTCAGAATTTTTTTTCCTTTGGGAATGAAGACCCATTTAACTTTTTCATAGTTAAGGGGAACATCATGTCATGATGCTGCATAAACCTCTTCAGAAAAAAACTTTATAGAAAAGGGGATCTATTAAATACAAGTAACACGTGAACATGCATGTTGGGTGTGTCCTCCATGCAGTCTGTAGCTCAAGAGATCTCTAAGCCCCTCATTGTCAAAGGCTAGAAGAATACAAGAGAAGGATTGCTCTATATGAGACTGTTATTCTATTCCCCATACATCTGCTACTGGCCATTGCCAGAGTAACGATTTAGGTGGCCTGATGTTTTTCAGCCAGTACACAGTTCTTACAGCCTGAATTTCATGATGTGGTAGAGAATACTCAGAAGTTAAACAATATATACCCTGTCTAATTTGAACATCCAGCATTCACCAAATTGTCTTAGACATCAAACTGGGGAGTTTACGATCATCTGCATTTACTGCTCTGTCAATGTCCTCACTTTTGTGTGAGCCTCTAGTCACGAAGCTGCAAGTCCAGCATGCTAAGTGCTTTACAAAGACATATGGGCTTCTTCGGGACTATAAATCTACTGTGCTGGAGATCTCCAAAAGACACCTTCTCCCCTACTGAGGCTGATAATCAGGCCCATGCTCTGATTCTTGAGTCAGCTCTGCCGGCACAAAGGCTACACCAAACCTTTCACAGAAAAATACACCTTGGGAAAGACTTGAAAAGATAAATATCCTTTCCTTGAGACGAATGCCATTACCTTAACCTGACCTTTTCCAATGCTTTAAAAACTGGAAAACTTTTTTAAGCCTTTTCCAGCCACTCACTGCTTCTTCCCTCCCTCCCTCCCTCCCTCCCATGATCCCTATGTTTTCAGGGGGCTGCCGACCATCCCGTTTCCCCTCCTTTCTTTGATTCTTACAGCAGAGCCTAATTTTTGGACTCCTTCCTTTCCCTCGTTCTTGAAGGATTGCTGGAAAGGGAAAAGTATTCCTGTCGGCATCCCAGTGGATTTTGTATGAATAGCTACCATAGCCATTTTTCTGCAGTGGCAGAAAAACTGCTGCTCACACAACTCCTCTAGATGTAAGAAAGGGACTGGCAAGTATCCTGGTCTCTGCTACTTCATGTTGAACCCCCACTGACAACCCACTGTTGCTAAAACATACAGATAGCTGAGTATCGTGGACTTTGCAGACTAGATATGAGAACAAGCTGCTGCTTTCAGTTATTCTGGTTTTAGGATGCTCAGCTTACAGAGTGATAAAATATTTCAAACATTGCTATAAAACCAAGGCTAATTTTGTGATGCAACTTTCTGAAAGAGCACACCAGAAAATGAGCTCGGGGGGTGGGGGAGATAGGAAAAAAAGCCCAACCCTGGTTAATGACTGGATCTGTAAAAATATCCTTTACCATATGTATTAGTGCTCCTGCAACTTCCTTCTATAAAACAAAAAAACCTCTAGTGCTGCATAAAACACATTAGCATCTTACAGTATCATACTGGCTGAATGAATCCTACCTCAGTAACTTCCGTGCCAACTTCTTTGACAGTACCCTAACACAAGGACAATTTAAAATAATCAAAACCCCAATGAGTAGTGTAAATCCTACTGTTTTTCACCATAATGCTGCTGCATAGTGCTTGAAGTAATTTCCTCTAGCTTCCATCCTGAAAAAGAGAATCCAAAGCTATACCATAAATATGGGTGGAGATACATTGCTAGCAAGCAATACACAAAAATCCACCTCACCTCTTCCAATTCAAATGAGTCTGGCAGCTTGCAGTTGAGGTTGACCACTTTTTTGAGTGTGTGGGCCACAAGCAAAGGTGGCTCCTTTCTTGGCCTGTCTTTGGCAGGCACCTCACATGCAGGAGACAGGTGGGGCTGTTTTGCAACTAGGTGCGATGAAGCCCAGGCTTTCCCCCATGAAGTCGGTGGACACTGGGATGTGGGATGTGCCGAGGCACCTTTGTCTCTGGGGGTTTGCTCCTGGGGCAGACAGCCCAATGTAACACGTGCAGAAAAGTCCGCATGGACTCTCCCTCTCTCAGCAATATCTGCACAAGGATGAGGTTGTTCTTTCTTGCCAGGCAAGTTGGCTTCCCCAGGTGCCAGTGAGTCCTGTTTCAGCAGCATTGTCTGCCGAGAAGCCCTTTTCAGGAGCTGGCCTATTCTCCTCCGCTTCACTCGTGTGACCGCAGTTCTGCTCTTCGCAGCATCCAAGAGACTGGTCTCATCCCCACCAGCGTCCTGTGCTTTAGTCTGTTGGGTGTTGGCGTCAGTCAGCAAAGATGAGAGGGCACTGGTTACGTGGTCAAGTACTTCCAGCTGTCGAAAACGTTCTTAAGTTTGGCAGAATGGAAGGCAACATGGTTATTAAAAATACAATCTGAAATAATCAGGTACAATGATTATTCAAACTTGCCATTGCCAAGAAACTTACTAAGTACCTCATTCAAAAGTGGCTAAATTTTTCCATTTGCTTCCAGAGGATCCATTCAGGCTACATACAGATGTCATTGCGTAGTTCTTTATATTAGACAAACATGCAACATTGAATTCATTGGGTCAAGTGCAGCTGAATACTGCTCTGTGTGGATAAAGGTTACAGAATCCAGCCTGAAATTCTCCGATTGGCTGGGCCAGACTTAGATGCAATTTTTGAGGACTTACTAAAATTCGTGTGAAAAAAGTTATTAAAATCTGATCTCCAATGTTTCCAGCTGGCAGCTGTCCAGGATAACCGTAAAATGCATATAGCCATTAACTGATAAAAATTAACCACAGAAGCTATGTTCTCGTTTTCATAGCAACAAAAAGCAAAACACTTATCCCCCAGAAACTCATAGTTGATGTCGTATAAAGGTTCCCAGATTTCTTTTATTGTACTAACCTCCTGTAATTTCTGGGTCATTTTTTCCATGGCATAACATCTAAAGAGAAGCGGATAATTTTTTCTCTAAGGGATCCTCGAGATTGCCATCACTGCAACACTATGAATTTATTTATACGAAGAAACGCAACACATTTGCTTGCACGTTGTGTCTGTACCTATCCTGAGGCAATGAATATGTCACCAGGACTCCTCCTTCCTTGAGAGATTAATTGAGGACAGTAGATGGCAAAATACTAACTTTCTTGGCTGCCATTTCTCTTAGAGAGCAGCCAGATTTACTGCATGCAGGCTGTTGGTAATGCTGCTTCACTGACAATTAGACAACAAGGGGATATTTAACATGGATCTGAGTTGGTCATTTGCATCGGGGACCAATACCGTGACATATAATTCCTGATAGTTACTATATCTCAAGAATACTCCTTTTTTTCTTTGCCCCAGACATTGCCTGATTTTTAACACTGGAGGAAAACATTGCCATTGCTGCCACCTTTTAAGACATGGTCAAAGGTTTCACCTGATGTGGTTTAAAGGAGTTATCTGATCTATCAGTACACCCATTACACAGTGTTGTATAGTTTCCATTTGCATAAGTTTGGGGTGTCAGAGTAAATAATTTTTGGTTTTGTATATCTACTGTGCTACTACATGCTCTCCATGTAAAGCACATTTTATCCTCAGTATTTCATCTGGCTCCCACTATGTTAGGCCATAAAAATGCCAAGTGCTAATCTTTGACTGAGAGTGGCACAGCAGTCCAGTCCTTCTTTTGATTTGAACCAGAATGAAACTGCTGAAATAGTTTTTACACAGTGCTTAGCTTTTGTAAATTATTTCAAAGAGCTTGGGACACCTAAAGAACAAATCAAACAAGAAGAGAAATTATAAATGAACAACATAAAAAATCCCCTCACTCATGTGCAATGTAATAAATACACAGGTCATGAAGAAATTATGTCAGGGACAGCCTTGCTTCATGGACTATTTCTCTCCAGGCAAGTAGTCCCTTCAGTTTCTAGGGGTGCTCCCCAAGGATCGCACCTCAAATAGGCAAGAGGCTGATAAGATCTCTTTAGTCCCTGCAGCCTGCTGCAAAATAGTCTAAATCTGTAGCACAGAGGAGATATTAAAGGACACAAACACAGATTAATTTTCACTAGAAACTTCAGCTGAAACAGCAAATGGCCGTGCTGTAAAAAAGATCAATAAATCTTCAGTAGAATCTGTATTTTTTATAGGGCTTCTAATGACTTTATGATCAACTATTTTATAATTTAGGAGGGGAAGCTCACAGTTTTGTTCCTCCTTCCTTAAATCTGATATTACATAGGCTGACATAGTTATCTACATGGAAGATTTGGAAAGTCTTCAGTAAGACCACAGTCGAATGAAGAAATACAGAACATTTCCAGAGCCAGCAAGAAATTTTTGATCAACATCTTTTTTTCACAGCAAATGGCAGAATTTGGAAAAAAATCAAAATTTTCAGTGGGTAAATCAAGACATCTGAAATTGCTCAGTTTTTCTCAGGAAAAGTAAAAATGAAATTTCAGCATTGTCTGCTTCGTCATATATTAAAATATTTTCCTTTTTTTAGATTGTTTCAACTTGAGTCTTGGCAATACTGCCTTTGCTTGAATCAAAGCTGTACTTCAGAGAATGCATTTAGCAATTTACATTTCATTTCTTTTCTAGGGGTGGATTTACTGGCTGACGTACATTTCCTCTCTCCTAGCTGACCTGTGGTGGTCACAGGACAACCATATATCATGGGAAATGGTGTCTACCTAATACACTCATCTCACAGAGAAGAAAGAGACTTGAACTATACTTCCAGTGAGGGGCTTGCAACAAGCTGAGACAGACAGAAATGAGCCTGAAAAATCCACAGAAACAAGACAGCAAACCCCAAGTAGATTTAGATATGGCAGTATGGAAAAGTGGTACTGAAATGTGGTGGGGGTTTTTTATTATTAAGCATCAGAATGAAACATTTCAACATTTCTGAACTAAGGTGTTCAGAAACTTGAAGTTTTCAAAGAATTTGGAGATCAACATACTCAGAAATACAATTATTTTTCACTTAACATAACTTCTGATTGTGAAGTAACTTTATTTCTTCAGTTAGGAAGTCAAATTTTCACCACTGGCAAATGATGGGGATAAGCTTTTCTTTTGGATCTGGTTGAGAAACTGAAGGGGTGACTGACATTTTTGAAAACACACCTTATTTTTGTGAACTGAACCTTTTGAAAACTCTCTTTGACAATGTTAGGGAACCAGCACCAAGCAAGGAGACAATTAACAAATAACTCTATAAGAATCCACAGGCATTTTAAAAGGCCAGATCAGCAATGAAGCAGGCCCAGAAAACTATTTTCATCACAAGCAGGGAAGAGCCAAACAGAAAGAGGAAGGAACTGCACTAGGAAAGGAATGAAATACAAAAGTGGACAGGGATCACTCTGTTATGGAAGTCCTTGGTCTCTCTCACCTCCCTCTCCTTTTTTCCTCCAAGTTTGTTGTCTTCCATATTGTACCTATAATCCTTCTCCTTATCTCTCACTTTCTTAGAGTATCACGTTATACTAAATCAATTAACTTTCTGTGCTGATTCAGAGAATAGGAGAAAGCAAACTGACAATGAGATAACCTCTCAGGCAGTCACTAACTCAGATTACACAATTTCTTCCTTTTCCATGGCTAGAGACAAATGAGAGGGTTTCAGACTGAATTTGCATTGAAATGGTTCAGTAATCATCGGCCAAACAGTGTGACAATAACTGAATTAATCCAGTACGTCTCTGGGAATGGTCTTGAAATCTCTAGAGGTGGCGCATGGCCTGCCTCATTTTGGCACTTTCATTTTAATGCCCTGGTGAAGCAGTCCTCCGATAGCAAGGAGTCTGGGGTTCCCTAAATTGTTCATGGAGAGGTAAATGCCGTGGAACATCTCTGGACCTGAACCTTCTACTTAATTTACAGAGAAGGGTCTTTTTCTGGGTCTTCTTCTGGAGACCTTCAAAAACACCTGTTCTCCTCATTGCCATTACAGGGAATGTAGGCTTCTGCTTTAGAAGAGCAGGCTCACTAGGTGCCTGAAAATTTAGGTGCAGTATTAGTACTGAAGGCAGACAGTAATCTGTCCAGCTCTAGAGATGCAATCCATTTTCAAATCTAATAAACATGAATTTGCCCCTCCTCCTTCTTGCTATACCTCACTGCAAATTCATTAGATGACCTAAGGTTGGCAAGATTGGAAGAAACCATTTTGCAACCAAATGCCATTTGAGGATATTCCTCAGGAGTTTGTACACTAAACCTGATACACCTCTTTTTAGCTGTAAGTCTTCTCCTGGAACACCAGCTGTAGGAAGGTACTTGTGCAAGATTACCTACATGGTCACTGAGACAGACTGGCTTCTTTTGAGAGGTGTTTTAAGTGGTGGCTGGATGATGACCCGCAGGAGTTGCCTGACTCTCTCCACTTGCTATGGAGATAGAAAGACTCTACAGTGATGAGGCTCCTTGAGATGGTACTTCAGCTAAATGCCTATAATTTGGTGCAGTGAACCAGGCCGAGGTTAATCACCACATTAAGGAAACATGTAGTCAGTGAAAACAGAAGAGGTAAGTATCTCTGAAGGATGAATCCCACCTCTCTCGATTAAATGTTCCCAGCCCAGGCACATGCTTAGGAGGCCTAAGCAGATGGTGTGAAAACCCCCTCCCAAACTGTCAAAAGCAAGATAATATGTTTTGATGGACATCACACCCACCGAAGCAGAAATTCAAATCTTATCTTACTTCACAGCAACTCCCCCATACAGATAAGCCATTAACATGTACTAAGAGTGCTCCTATTGAGGATGACTGCAAGACATTAAGAGTCATTAAATTCACACCTTGGCTTACCACTGCCTGCCTTCACTGTGCAAACTCCTTCCCTCAGAGGCTCTTTCTCTGCTCTCATTCCTTCCTAGTTCTCTACCTTCTTCCCTGAGGTCTCCATCCACCATCCACTCATACTGATTATCTCTGTTCCCTCTCTCCCTCTCTCTCTGAGGAGTTACAGAGAGAGAGAGAAAGAGAGTGAGAGCTGAGAAACCTGTTTGATGTGTCAGTTTGCTGTAAATATTGAAGTGTGTGCACGGGGCTTGCTATAAAAAAAAAAAAGAGAGGAGAGAGAGAGAAAAACACATTTTCCACAATGCTCTGACATTTCTGTTTCAATTCTCATTCCGTCCATGCTGCTTCCTTGGTGTAATTCTAAACGGGAATACATGGGCTATGCGAGAGATCCTGCTTCGCTGAGCATCTTAAGTAAATAGAAGATTTCTAGAGCCATCTGGCTATCCTGTGCAGCAAACATGAGGGGAAATGATGTCAAAATTGGGCTTTTCGGATGGGTGATATACCAGCGAATTAACAATGCTATTTTAATGCAGATATATCTTTAGGGTGAGGACCTTGTATTAATTTCTCAACTGCAAAATACACAACATGAGAACAAAAACCAGCTAAATGAATAAAAATCAAGACTGTGTGCCTTAAATGGGGCAATTTTATTGTACTTAAAATACGATCCTCATCTACATCTTAGGGCACATTTGAACCACAAAACTGTTAGCTTTTAGTTAGGGATTTGTGGGTCTGATGCACAAGCTCTGGCAGCTCTAGTCATGGCAAGTTAAGGCCTTGTCATCTGCTCACCACATTTCCCTGTGAGAGGGGTCCTGCTCTCACCAAGAGGAAAAGGGAATGTGAGCCCACATCTGGCCTGGCTGAATTCAAAATCCTGTGTATTGGCTTACACCACCAATGATGGTGGGTACGTGTTGCCAGTGAAGTGGCTGGGGCAATGGACCCATGTTCAATTATGCAGCCTCCGCGACACCAATGACAATCTCTGGTGGTGGGGTAGGTCTTACAGGGGATGGGCGGTTATGTTTTAAAATGCCACAAGCTGGTAGCTCCAGCACATAGATCAGAGTCCACAGCTGAGGAGAGGTAAACTGTATTTCAGTCATATTAAGAAGTATCGTTGCCACAAAGGTGTACATGAGGATCTTCGATGTCTCCTGAATACATGTTCCTTTTTCATGCATTTTTTTTTTTTAAGCCTCGTCTTCACTGCCGTCTCAGTCCCCCCTGCTATTTATTTTACCTCCTGGCTAAAATTCCTCCTTTTGCCAAAATGCCTCTCCTTACCATATAGGTTTGGTCTCTCAATGTCCATCCGCTGCTTCTGAGCTTCCAAAAACACTCGGACGTTGATCCCTTTTGCTACAGAAGCACCACTGAGGAACCGAGGAGGGATTTTGGTGCAAACATCAGGTTCTTCCGTACCAAACCCCAAATCAAGAAGAATCTCCACTGGATCCTTTTCGCAGAGCGCCAGCCATTCAGTGATGCTGTGGTGAAAACATGAGGATTATTTACACCACTGTCTTGGTACCACTTTCTCTTGCAGTAGCTATCACATGGTCTTGTTTTTGTTAAATAATTCTCTTCCCTTCTTCTCCCCTTTTGTGGAGACTACTGCTTAAGTGAAAGTAATAATTTTTGGTCACATTGCTAAGAGATTGACACATGTTCCTCCCCCCCAGAGGAATTTGGTGGCATGGTATCTAGATAGCTTAGCAAAAGGAACATTAATAAAAGGTGTAGGTTCACAGCTCTGCAGGCTCACTTCTCTCTAGACACAATACAGATAAGGCATGCTGCAGCTGCCATAAGACGTCGCAGGCTTTTACCTTCCAGTGGATTCAAAGCCCACTGCAGTTTCAGGTAGTTTTTGGTTTTTGGGGGTTTTTTTACTGGTACAAATGCATTTGAGATCAGACACCTGTTATTAAGACGGTCATTTTGATCCTGTTAAAATAAATGAGGAGATGCCTTTTACAAACTAAGGCCTTGAACTGCTTATTCAAAATTGTACTCACATTTGTTGATCTCTAAATGGGCTAATACCTTGTATTCCTAGCTGGAAATACATGAAAATAACTAACCTCTGGGGTGCACCAGTGAGCAAGTGGGACGAGCCAAGACTCTTGCATCTTGGCACAACTGGACTTTCTGAAAAATCTTGCAGGGACCTGGTTGGAAAAAAGCAACAATGAAATGTGTTTAACTCATGTGCTCCTCTGGGATGTCATTATGATTTTTTCCTAGAGTAAACATTTGCATTTTGTCTTGGTTTATAACGATACATAATAGCAATGCCTTAGAAGAAGAGTCGGCATGAGAGTGTGGCAATACGCTTATTCTCAAGAACAGTATGTTACAGTAGGTGTGAGAACGTAGGTGTGAGGTACCAGTAAATGCTAATTATAAAGGTGGCAGAATGGCTCACTTTTGACAGATGGTGAATCTTTGGGGAACCTTTAGGGAGCATGGTTTCTCTAGCCACCTACTTCAAAAGATATAATTGCTCTTAACAAAGTTTTGGAGAGACAAAGCACAATGAGTTGCAGCAGCAGGAGTGGCACCTGAGAACAATTCTGTGCTTCGCTTGTTGTTGTGTTTGTATCCGCTAATCTGCAGAGAAATAGTTGCTTTTCAGAGCCTGCTCACTGCAAAAGGAATATCCTGCCGCATAGTAGTCTTTCTCAATAGGTAAGACCACATGGTTTTGTTATGCCCAAGCTTAACTTTACCTACACATACCTATCAAGATCAGTAGCAAGTGTTTATATACAGTGGAAGCATTGCATTGGTCATTTTTTTTATCATTGCAGGTTATCCATCAGCTCACATCTTAAACAGGCCTAGAGGGATACGTAGATTTTTGAACTAATGCTGTTGCTATCAGTTTGAGAGAAGGGGGGGGGGGGGGGGAGACAAGAAAATTCCCC